TTGCGGAAACCTGAGTTTCCGATAACAAACAATTTTGTTTCTCATATATAGCTTTCCTTCTCAATTCGCATTGTAATAAGAATCAAAGCAGTTCGCCTTCCTTGCCAAAACTATTTCACATCAAGAAAAATCTCGCTTTGAGCAAACAACGATGCAGTACTTGTCCTATTGGCGCACTTTGGTACATGTCACAAAGTGCAAATCGTTCCTGACTTGGCAAAATAGGATCCGTTCTTGAGGCTCCAACGGAAACATCGCGCCGAAGACCGCAAGCGATAGCCGGTATTGGTGTTTTATCAGTAGATATCAGTCAATTGGCACCTAAGATACTGTCAACCAAAAAAGGAAATATCAGGTTCTACCTACTTTTTTTCTCTCCTCAAAACTTCTCAGTGTTGAGCAGCGGTTTTTTCCTCCACATCTGCCGCAAGCTTTCGGTTTTGTAACTTTTGATACTCTCAGCATTTTATAAATACTGTAGAGAAAGCAAAAATCTGTTTTTTGACTATGAGCAGCCGCAAGTCTGCGAAATCTCATAAGTTAAGCAGCTAAAGTTTTGTGTGACGTAACAATGCAGTTTCCTGATTTGTGACAAGTTTTACAGACGTGTCAATTGCGACAATTCCTCATGTCAGGGATCGGGAACAGAAAAGGTCCGTCTTTGCAAAACATACCATAGCATTGGCCATCGTATCATGTTTGTTCATTTTTAGTTGGAAATTGTAAGGTTAGGAGGTTTAGAGTAATGTGTCAATTAAGCTATATGTACTATCTTACAATGTTGCGGAGGCTGTGAAACGCATTTATGTGCAAAACTATTTTTTATTGGTAAAAGTTAGCAAAGCTTACAGTATGCTTTTTCCTGAATGCTGACATCCCTCTATAGCTTTATTAAAGAGTATTACTTGATTCACAGGCTATGATATTAACTTGCTTCAATAGCTTTCGGAACCTGCGAAGCTGTAAAACTTGTGAGTGTACATGGCTCGCAATGAGCATGTAGTTCAACCCAAAAATTGTTGAAATCGTTGATGAAATTTAGCGATAGGGCTCTGTTTGAACGAGAACTCATTGCTGTAGTCACTTTCTGAAATTTTTATTATCGGTTTTTATAAATGAGTCCCTTCCCACAACTAAAATATCATTCCTCGTAACGTTTTCCTCACACCATTGAAATTATCCCTATTTCCTTGACACGTGACCATGATACAGTGTTCACATTCCTGAACTAATTTAATGACATTATAGGACCTTTTGCATTTTTTTCACTTGAGCCTTATCAAATGATTGACATTTAATCCCTTTGTCACTCCTCCCCATCTCTTGATTATCTCCTTGTTTCAGTGAGAATCTTCTGCTAAGCGAATATCAATTTCGATAAACTATGAAGAAAGGACAGCAAATAATTCTCAGCTGTGAGAAAACTTCATTTACATTTCCCCTTCACCCAACCTTCTTCGCTGCACCTCTTTTGGAGAACAAAATGCTTATCATCGTTGCATATTTGTTCTGTAATCAGGTTATGATACATTGGCACTGCTTTTAATGCTAATCTAGCAGCACAATTTATATCAGCAAAGGCACGAATTTTGTAAAAATATAGTCAAGTTGACTGACGCAAAGTCCGGAAAACTCGAGATTGCATGCGCAATTAGAATCATGTGAACTCTTTTTCCCTTTCTTGTTTAGGCCTACAAAGTTGAAGCAAGTTGAATGATGTGTGAGATTGTTCAACTGTTTGACTGTTTAGTTTATCTTCCCTAAAATCAATCAATGGAAATTTTATCAAGTGCATCTCAACACTCAAATGTATCGAATTTCGAATATATTTTCATTTTAGCTCCAATATATCATGTATTTAGACTACCCTCTCCAACAAATTAGGAATTGAAAATACATGTTCCAAGGAGTATGCAGTAATGACATATTAGTGTCTTCACGAATATTTCGTATGAACACTGCTCATCGATAGCGCTAGCCATAATTATAAAAGTACTTGAAAAAAGGCGTATCTTGCGTCAAAATGGAATGTGCTGCAGCTATTTATATCTATTAACAGCAAAAGATCTAAAGATCAAACTCAAAAAAACGCGCATCAAAAACCTGGCCAAAATGATACATGCACTTTTTATCTCATACATTTACGTTTGCCCTTATAATATCTTTCACAAGATACCAAACTCTGAGCGTCCTATAGAGGTCTATCGAGCTGAAGGCATTTCAGAATTCTAAGCATAAAAATTGTATCATTCTTCTTTGCTCCGAAAATCTGTGCTTAGAAAAGATTCCCAATTACTTTGTTATTAACTCAACTGCTTACACGGCTTTTGGAACTCATGGCAATGTAATGAAAGCCAGAGCATGGGGCAAATGCCACTAATATCCGAGTTTGATAGCCGCCTCAGCACGAATCATAAATTAGCCCCAATGCTCGGCCGTGTTGTCCGCAAAAACCTGGAACGAAGTGAGAAAAGAGGTTAGGTCATCCCGGCACACCTAAAACAGCTTAGTCGCAGTTTTCGTAATAGGTCGCACTCTTGAGTCATCTAAGGTTAGTATTGCTATCGTACTTTAATGCTGTTTTAACTTTCTTCTTATTGAATGCTATCCTAAGCCTTTTGTTGGCATTTGAGTGAATAGGTCGTTTATGTGTCGACTTTCCAGGCTCTGACGAAGGCGTGATCGCCAAAAGTTAGCCAGTAAAGAATTGTTAAATCTATGGTCCCTGCTTAGACCTACTGCAGGAGAAGTGAGAATAATGTCTTTGATTGAATGAGTATGCGCCCAACGTCCATGATTGTACGTATCATTTGTCTCGGTCCAGTCAAAATGGAACTTTCAGCAGATAAACTGGAGCAAGAATACAGGTGTAACTAGACCATATCTTAACTAATCATCAGACACTTCAACTATTCTTCTATCTAACGATCAACCGATATGAGCAAGGACTAATGAAAAATTGTGAATGCAAAGACAAACTCCACATTTCACTTCAATTAGTGCTGCAATAGAGGTTTCTTGGGAAACTAAAATGCACAACGGATATCGTGGACTTGGAACAAATGCTCACGTATTCGAGGCATTGTTCCTATTTCAATTCAATCACGAATACTATGAGTCGATCAATGGAGCTGAGAGTGCGCCTCATCCGTGCTAAGCGGACCGTTGGATTGGGTACAGCTTGGATTGCGTGTCATTTGTCCCAAGCGCTGTCCTTCACGGGCTGCCTAGGGATTTAGAAGCCCTAAAAGCCTTCGGATAAGTTAAGTTATTGAGAAGAAGTCTGATCTAAGAGAAAATTTTTGGGATAAGAAGTTTTAGAAAGTTGGAGTCTTCTTATCCCAAAGCAGATCTTCGCGCCATGCTCGAATCTTCATGATTTTCTACAGATTTCATGCTAAATTGTAACAGTAGATGGATTGTGATCTACTCAATCTACTATCACATAGCACCTTGGATTTTTATGGATAAGTCGCACTTTGATTTTGTCGGGTGCAAGACCAACGTCTTAGACCAACGCCAGGCACAGCAGGACCAATCCTCGAATCACGCCCTGCACCCACGCTCAGCAAGGCCTAGATGGATATTGTTTGCAGCACAGCTGAGAGAATAGTGCGCCCTGATGGAACATGTGCGACGCGCCGCGCGCTGGTCATGTTTAGGGCTTTCAAGGTGTGGCTTCACAGGAAATTAGGTAGTGTATCATAGTAGATTGAAGAAAATTCATATATCAGGTGGTAAGGCAATTCTTTCTCAACGGAACAATATATGGTTTTTTTACTAGTGCGCTTATGATTATGGCCAGCACATAAACGCGCTGAAAATATTATATATCTCGCTTCATCGTAATGAATCGCTCTGGTACGATATGACTCAGAAGCGTTTATTGTCATATATACCATTTGCTGTGCAGTTTTTCACATAAGTAACGCAGAAAAATTACAAAGAAGATTGAATATGCCCAGCAAGAAGTTATTCACATAATGGGAAAAGCGAGAATTAAAAAGCTATTACACTTCGTAGCTTACACTATTTTTTGAAGGGGAATGGCTTCGAATTCCGGATATAGTGTATGTTCAGCTTCTGTTATATATCGAAAAGGAACACAATCTCTTTTTGTGCGCAAAATTACTTCTAATGCTAGATGGTCTCAAATTAGCCGTTCTGATGGATTATCCTTGTACTCGCAGAGCCCGCTGACTTCTTTGAAAAATGAGACCGTGCTCGAGGGTTCTGTGAGCAAAGCTGCGCATCGCCTTTATCAAAATAGCAGACTGATTGGAGTAAGGTACAAGGGCTTCTAGCAAGCTTTTAAAACAATTTCGGTTTAGGCTACTTGGTATAGAGAGAAGGGTACTCGGCTACACTGGTGAGCCATATAAAAGACGGTTGGGCTACGCGATTTAATCAACCTTTTGCGGGATCTACAAGCAAACAGCCGGCATACGGGTGATTCACACTCAGACACACTTTTGAAAGGTATTGAACTGGTTATCTCGTGGAAAACAGTGGGTTAAATGCCTAGTGCCCCCCGCAAGATAACAGACCCAGCCTATAAAGAGCAGGTTACGTTGTAATGGCACCAAAACCATGATGTCCTTGTGCATCGACTTCAGGCGAATAACATGAGATGTACATAAACGCAGTCTTGAACGATCGTCCTTTGTATTAGAGCACCTTTTGTTATTTCGTTGCTCAATGTATCAGCTGATTTGCAAATAATCATGTTTACCCAGGTATTTGAAATAATGTTGGACTTTCTGCGCAAAAACATGGGGATGGAGATTCCTCTATTTCTGTATATGCTAACAAGTTTCCTGAAATATCCAGTTTTCCAAAATTTAATGTATGAGAAGGTTTGCCTTGCACGTTATGATCAGGTAAGCAGTTCTCTTCATTTTCTTGATTTGCAGTCTTGGATTCTAATTATCTTAGGACTTCACATTATGCTCAAATGTGTCAGCGTACTATTCTGATAAAACAATTCAAGCTGATGCGAATCACTTCTACTTCTTGTCCTCCATCGTGCTTGTTCTTCCATCTCTCATCTCTACGCTTGCATTAGGGGCAGGTGAGGTAGGGGCTGAGTTTCTCAAATTCTATAGGTTCTTCCCGCCCTGATATATGGGGGATCTTTACAGCCGCGGATTTGTGGAGTATCAAAGTCCCTCTGTTAATACCGTTTCTTGGCCTTATTCTATGCACTACAAACTATATTATTCAAACAGTATATATGAGTCTATCCGTTTATATGCTGCTAATAAGTGATGCCTTATTCGGCATCTGTGGTGGCTATATTTCTGTGATATGTGAGTGACCTTTTTACATTGCCTGTTCCATTCATGAGAAGGGATGAGTTCGCCATAAAGGCTGTAAGTCACACCACACATCGAGTGAAGAAATTCGGAGATGCGATTTGCCGCGGAGAAGAATATGTGCATGTCTATAAGCAGAAGCTTACGATACCTAAGCTCCAGGCCAGCATGATTTGAATTAATCATGCGCATTGTGGAGACTATGTTTTGCAATTTTATAGAATTTATTTTGAGTGCTTTCAGCCACAACCCTTAGTTATGGCGTAAAAACGACGTCGACTTCTCGCAGAAGTGTCAGGATTGCAGGACTTGAAGGTGCTATCGGTCTTGGTGGTACTGTGGGATACGCCATCTCTGGAACAGTAAGAGAGTGGGTTTACATTTTATGGTGTTATTTTTGCACATGTTAGAAGGGTGTGTTAACTATGGACTTATCACCTTTGAGTTTAATGAATTCAATTCACCTCAGAGGCGAACTTGTTGCGATTGCCTAAAATCGAGTTGTCAAAAGTTTCAATGAAAACTTTTAGAGCATTTGGATACTCCTACACGTTCTTGTTGATGCTTGTTCTGCAAGTGTTTGCATTCTTCTACATCCTCATATGCGCCAAAGATTCAGATAATGCTGATGCTGGTGCAGATGACGATCGAGGTTAGCCTTTCTCTCTTTCTCTTCTCTCTACTTAGATCTCTTTACTTTCAGATAAAATATATTGAACTTCTAATCATTTAGGATTAATCTTATTAATTGTCGAAGAAACAACAGCAGCATTTGTGGATTACTGGCAGCTTTTGGCGACCAAACGAAGATTTCGTCTCCTTCTTGGTTTGAATTTATTTGCACTTGGAGTGGAACTGCTTATATTTGCAGGTGAGTGTAAAGCCGTCCTAATGATGTTTTCTACTCAAGCACTTCAGGTTTGATGGACATTCAATATTCTTATTTACGATACAAGTTGGGCTGGGGAGACAAGGAGTATGGATGGTTCAGTGGATTGCAGTATGGAGTAACAACTGCAACTGTATGGTTGAGACTTTCTC